TGGAATTTGCTAATTGTGACACTGAGCATTGGACTGGAACTCTAGAGCAGCTTTATAAAGCACCAGTTGGATGCCTTTAAAACTCTGGCTCCCTAGTTAGTGTCTGTAGAACTGTTTATCCCATTAAATGTTCAGTGAAGTGTAATGTCATGAATTTCTACACAGACATGTCTCGTGCTTCCCACCCGCAGAGCACTCGCAGCTGACCTCTCCTTCATCGCCCATTTTGCTTTAGACTTCAGCATTCACTGTTGTATAAATCGCAGGAGTTGAAGGTACAAAGTATCAAAGCGAGGATAGCCTTCTACCAGCGTGTGCTTATGAGATGCACAGTCAAGCCCTTTGTGTAATCAGAAACAGCACCTACAACCTCTGGCTGTGCCACTATGGGTATGTCTACACTACGAAATTAGGTCGAATTTATAGAAGTCGGTTTTTTAGAAATCGGTTTTATATATTCGAGTGTGTGTCCCCACAGAAAATGCTCTAAGTGCATTAAGTGCATTAACTCGGCGGAGCGCTTCCACAGTACCGAGGCAAGCGTCGACTTCCGGAGCGTTGCACTGTGGGTAGCTATCCCACAGTTCCCGCAGTCTCCGCTGCCCATTGGAATTCTGGGTTGAGATCCCAATGCCTGATGGGGCTAAAACATTGTCGCGGGTGGTTCTGGGTACATATCGTCAGCCCCCCGTTCCCTCCCTCCCCCCCCCCATGAAAGCAAGGGCAGACAATCATTTTGCGCCTTTTTTCCTGAGTTACCTGTGCAGACGCCATACCACAGCAAGCATGGAGCCCGCTCAGCTCACTTTGGCAATTAGGAGCACATTAACCACCCCACGCATTATCCAGCAGTATATGCAGCACCAGAACATGGCAACGCGATACCGGGCGAGGAGGCGACGTCAGCGCGGTCCCGTGAGTGATCAGGACATGGACACAGATTTCTCTGAAAGCATGGGCCCTGACAATGCATGCATCATGGTGCTAATGGGGCAGGTTCATGCTGTGGAACGCCGATTCTGGGCTCGGGAAACAAGCACAGACTGGTGGGACCGCATAGTGTTGCAGGTCTGGGACGATTCCCAGTGGCTGCGAAACTTTCGCATGCGTAGGGGCACTTTCATGGAACTTTGTGACTTGCTTTCCCCTGCCCTGAAGCGCATGAATACCAAGATGAGAGCAGCCCTCACAGTTGAGAAGCGAGTGGTGATAGCCCTGTGGAAGCTTGCAACGCCAGACAGCTACCGGTCAGTTGGGAATCAATTTGGAGTGGGCAAATCTACTGTGGGGGCTGCTGTGATGCAAGTAGCCCACGCAATCAAAGATCTGCTGATATCAAGGGTAGTGACCCTGGGAAATGTGCAGGTCATAGTGGATGGCTTTGCTGCAATGGGATTCCCTAACTGTGGTGGGGCTATAGACGGAACCCATATCCCTATCTTGGCACCGGAGCACCAAGCCGCCGAGTACATAAACCGCAAGGGGTACTTTTCGGTAGTGCTGCAAGCTCTGGTGGATCACAAGGGATGTTTCACCAACATCAACGTGGGATGGCCGGGAAAGGTGCATGATGCTCGCATCTTCAGGAACTCTGGTCTGTTTCAAAAGCTGCAGGAAGGGACTTTATTCCCAGACCAGAAAATAACTGTTGGGGATGTTGAAATGCCTATATGTATCCTTGGGGACCCAGCCTACCCCTTAATGCCATAGGCTCATGAAGCCGTACACAGGCAGCCTGGACAGTAGTCAGGAGCTGTTCAACTACAGGCTGAGCAAGTGCAGAATGGTGGTAGAATGTGCATTTGGACGTTTAAAGGCGCGCTGGCGCAGTTTACTGACTTGCTTAGACCTCAGCGAAACCAATATTCCCACTGTTATTACTGCTTGCTGTGTGCTCCACAATATCTGTGAGAGTAAGGGGGAGACGTTTATGGCGGGGTGGGAGGTTGAGGCAAATCGCCTAGCTGCTGGTTACGCGCAGCCAGACACCAGGGCGGTTAGAAGAGCACAGGAGGGCGCGGTACGCATCAGAGAAGCTTTGAAAACCAGTTTCATGACTGGCCAGGCTACGGTGTGAAAGTTCTGTTTGTTTCTCCTTGATGAAACCCCCCGCCCCTTGGTTCACTCTACTTCCCTGTAAGCTAACCACCCTCCCCTCCTCCCTTTAATCATTGCTTGCAGAGGCAATAAAGTCATTGCTGCTTCACAGTCATGCATTCGTTATTCATTCATCACACAAACAGGGAGATGACTACCAAGGTATCCCAGGAGGGGTGGTGGAGGAGGGAAGGAAAATGCCACACAGCACTTTAAGCACAGCACTTTAAAAGTTTACAACTTTAAAATTTATTGAATGACAGCCTTCTTTTTTTTGGGCAATCCTCTGTGGTGGAGTGGCTGGTTGGCCGGAGGCCCCCCCACCGCGTTCTTGGGTGTCTGGGTGTGGAGACTATGGAACTTGGGGAGGAGGGCGGTTGGTTACAGAGGGGCAGCAGTGGCAGTCTGTGCTCCAGCTGCCTTTGCTGCAGCTCAACCATACACTGGAGCATACTGGTTTGGTCCTGCAGCAGCCTCAGCATTGAATCCTGCCTCCTCTCATCACGCTGCCGCCACATTTGAGCTTCAGCCCTGTCTTCAGCCCGCCACTTACTCTCTTCAGCCCGCCACTTATTCTCTTCAGCCCTCCACCTCTCCTCCCGGTCATTTTGTGCTTTCCTGCACTCTGACATTATTTGCCTCCACGCATTCGTCTGTGCTCTGTCAGTGTGGGAGGACAGCATGAGCTCGGAGAACATTTCATCGCGAGTGCGTTTTTTTTTCTTTCTAAGCTTCACTAGCCTCTGGGAAGGAGAAGATCCTGTGATCATTGAAACACATGCAGCTGGTGGAGAAAAAAAAAGGGACAGCGGTATTTAAAAAGACACATTTTATAAAACAGTCGCTACACTCTTTCAGGGTAAACCTTGCTGTTAACATTACATACATAGCACATGTGCTTTCGTTACAAGGTCGCATTTTGCCTCCTCCCACCGCGTGAACGGATTTTGGTTGAATGCCAGCAAACATACACTGCAATGCTTTGTTCTACAGTGATTCCCGAGTACGTGTTACTGGCCTGGAGTGGTAAAGTGTCCTACCATGAAGGACGAAATAAGGCTGCCCTCCCCAGAAACCTTTTGCAAAGGCTTTAGGACTACATCTAGGAGAACCGCAAATGCCAGGGCAAAGTAATCCTTTCACATGCTTGCTTTTAAACCATGTATAGCATTTTAAAAGGTACACTCACCAGAGGTCCCTGCTCCGCCTGCTGAGTCCAGGAGGCAGCCTTGGGTGGGTTCGGGGGGTACTGGCTCCAGGTCTAGGGTGAGAAACAGTTCCTGGCTGTCGGGAAAACCGGTTTCTCCGCTTGCTTGCTGTGAGCTATCTACAACCTCCTCCTCATCATCATCTTCTTCGTCCCCAAAACCTACTTCCATATTGCCTCCATCTCCATTGAAGGAGTCAAACAACACGGCTGGGGTAGTGGTGGCTGAACCCCCTAAAATGGCATGCAGCTCATCATAGAAGCGGCATGTTTGGGGCTCTGACCCAGAGCGGCTGTTCGCCTCTCTGGTTTTCTGATAGGCTTGCCTCAGCTCCTTCAGTTTCACGCGGCACTGCTTCGGGTCCCTGTTATGGCCTCTGTCCTTCATGCCCTGGGAGATTTTCAGAAAGGTTTTGGCATTTCGAAAACTGGAACGGAGTTCTGATAGCACGGATTCCTCTCCCCAAACAGCGATCAGATCCCGTACCTCCCGTTCGGTCCATGCTGGAGCTCTTTTGCGATTCTGGGACTCCATCATGGTCACCTGTGCTGATGAGCTCTGCATGGTCACCTGCAGCTTGCCACGCTGGCCAAACAGGAAATGAGATTCAAAAGTTCGCGGTTCTTTTCCTGTCTACCTGGCCAGTGCATCTGAGTTGAGAGTGCTGTCCAGAGCGGTCATAATGGAGCACTCTGGGATAGCTCCCGGAGGCCAATACCATCGAATTGTGTCCACAGTACCCCAAATTCGAGCCGGCAACGTCGATTTAAGCGCTAATCCACTTGTCAGGGGTGGAGTAAGGAAATCGATTTTAAGAGCCCTTTAAGTCGAAATAAAGGGCTTCATTGTGTGGACGGGTGCAGGTTTAAATCGATTTAACGCTGCTAAATTCGACCTAAAGTCCTAGTGTAGACCAGGGCTAAGAACCAAGGCCACCACTGAATGAGCTTGCCGGTGCCTTGGGGTTAGAGAGTTCTGCAGCAAAGCTGCCCTTGTTTCTCTCTGAGGGTTAGCCAAGAAGGACATTTAGTGAACTGGATAGTTAGGATCCTGCTGTCTGCAGTTTTTGGAGGAACTTGGTCCCTGGACCATAGGCAGTCGTTCCTGACACTGTCAGATTTCCCCGGCTTTGAAAACTGAAACCTGTAGAATAATGATGTGTTTTGAACTCTGCTTTTCTCCTTTCGTGTTTTATATGCAGCGTATTGATGCAATATAAAACTGAGATAATCCCTGGCAGTTCTTACATCTCTGTGCCATTGCCTTCCCTGTCAAGTCCGGGTGGTAAGAAGCTGAGAGCAGCTGTAACAATCACTGTGCTCTTTCTTTTCACATGTATGCTTGTTTTCCTTTATAAACACAGCTTCATTACTGAGCTATGAAGCTGTGCCGACATTTGGTCTGACCTCAGAGAGTGACTGGAAGGGACCTACTCCGATATGGAGACGTGTTCACTTTTTTAGGCATTTCTTACAGTGCCTCCTTCAGTGAACGACTGAATAACATAGCAGAAGGTTTTGCAAGCATGTGTGGGATGCATGTTTGCTTCACCTCGTGTGAGCGCTGTCTCCATAGAGGGTAACCTCCTGTTCTGTGGCTGCACAGTGCCACCCTGCAGAGCTCAGCTGCAGAAGAGCAGTCCCTTTCTTCCATGTATCACCCAACTCTCTCTCTCCCCCTTGTTTCCTTTCCCAGGATCTGTGGGGACCCCGCTGCCAGGGGTGGAAGTGCGCATTGCCACGAAGAGTTTGAAAAGGGAAGGTCCTTCCTACACCATCCACGCTCAAGGAGATGAACGTGACACAAAGGTAGCATGCAGCTATGCTGTCTGCTTCTGTCTCTTGTATCTGCCTCTCTGTGACAATCTGCTAGGGTTCCCAGAGCTGAGTCACTGTGTTACCTCTCCCAGCCTCAGCAAGTGGGAGCTTTGCTGCTGCTAAGCTGGGAGAATCAGCTCCCTGACACACCAGCCTGTCGCCCTGCCAGCAAACTGTTAGGACTCCATCAGTCCAAATCTTGCCTAGCAGTAATAATTAGTGAACCCCGATTCCCGAGTTCCTCAGAGTTGTATATTTGCAGTGCTCAGTCCCTCTCGCTATAGCACTCCCAAAACTATCAAGTTTGCTACTCCTTTAAAGAGAGAGTACGCAGCCCCTTATTTATCAACTCGTTCTGATCTGCCTGGTGTAAACACATGTTAGTCACATATTTCCAGCACATCTGTAAAATTCTGTGTGGGTTAACCATGCATAAATCATGCAAGAATATTAGTGATCAGTGAGTTATTCGTTTTCCAGTGATATATTACATGTCCTTTTTGGGTAAAGATCATGACAACAGTGTGACACTGGCATTGGGGTGCTCTTCGGGTGCTGCTCTCAGTGAAAATTATGAAAACACTTTTCCCCTTCCCCAGAGACCCAGAAAGAGGAAGACACTCTTGCTATTCCTAGTGACTTACTGATATTAGTTATTCTCGTCTCTTTATTGTATGCTATATTATGATGTGGTCACTGGAGTTTTTGAAGAATAGGTTAGACAAATACCTGTTAGGGATGGTCTAGCTAATACTTAGTCCTGCCTCATTGTAGGAGACTGGAAAGATGATCTCTCGTGGTCCCTTCCAGTCCTACATTTCTAAGATTCTGTGATTATTCTGTGTGTGGCACTTTACAGACCAAACAAGTAACTGTCCTGGCCCTAAGGAGCTTGCAGGGTATAGACCAGACATCTATATGTGGGTTTGGAGCAGCAGGCAGAGTGCAACTTAGACACAACACCTTCCTCCTCTTTCCCACCTCCCCGATTGCCTGGGTGCCCTTCACCTGGCTGCCCTTTTGTGCCCTCATTGTAGGTGCGATTCATGTCACTTACTGTAGATCGATAACCACGTGATCTGCAGGCTCACTCAAGTAAATAGATGTGTATGTGAGAGGAATTACACCAGGAACCACTTATGTGTGGGTGCAAAAAAGGGAGGCCAGTCTTTGAAAGCTGGTCCTAGACGAAGGAAAGATAAAGTTACTGGACTCATTCGTAAACCAGGTTAGTTTCTCCTGTAGCCATGTAGATGCCAGGGGTTCTAGCGGAGTTCCTGATGCGCACAGGAAATACTTGCTTACACTGCGCATGTAACTACCGGTGACAAGCTCAAAGAAAACTTCTTAACTCTGTCTCCTGTAAATCAGGATTGAGGTGGTGGGTTGGAACCGAGGTGCCATCTGTACAGTGAGGCCAGAACTGGAACAGCAGTGAGGGAGATGCATAACTGGCTTGAAATCCATGGGAAGAGCTGTGTGTGGGGAGGTCAGATGGCATCTACCCTCAGTGTGCCATGCTGCAGCCAGCACTATGTGACTCATCTTCATTTGTATAAAAAATCCCTAGATTAACTAAAAGAGGTTTAAAAAATGTGAAGGCTTCTCAGGGCATTCTGGGACCGGATGGAGTTATGGAGCCCATCTGTTAGCAAAACCAGCATGATCTGGGCGGGAAAGGGACTTGCCATGAGTCTAGCTGTAATTACTGGTTACATCTTTTGGCCTGAGCGTTAAATGACCTTGTTTTGCTGAGAGATGGGCAGGGTAGAGAGGACTCTTAAAATGACCCTGTGGGCAGTTTAACAGATGAGAAGCTGTGTCCCGTTTTTGTCATGTCATTGCTAGAGAGAGCCCGGAAATACTGTTTGCTTTCTTATGTCTGACTCCTCGTCTTACAGTTACATGTCGGCCCCTTTTCACTTGCACTGGGTGGGGACATGAAATGTAAACCATTTGTCCCAGTACAATTTTAATAATGAGCCCTTTACACTATTCACCCTGAAGGATCCCAGTGCTCTTTACGAATTAGATCTAGAATATAAGACTCCTTTGCCCATTACAGAAATCAGTCACCTCTGGGGTGAGATGTGGTCACTGTTTTTAACATACAGGTGAACAAAATATGTGTGGTTTTTGTTTGATTTTAGCAAAATTCTGGACCAAAGCTAGGCTGGCTGTGCGCCCGGGCTATCCGCTAGTCCCTGTGGGGCCACTGGATCTGGTTTTATTTAAAGGGGAAGCAGAGGAGAATGGGAGTCCAGACTTCATGTAGCTAAACCTTGGTCGTCCAAGCCTGGTTCACGTCCCCCTGTGGTTTCAGGGAAGTGAGGCTTTGTACTACTGTGTATAGTTCTGAGCTGGCTAGGTTTACATACCAGGGGCCATCATTTACCCCTTTGCACCTGCCTGTCACCTCCTCCCAGTTAGCCACTAGGCATTTCCCTCATTCGGTACCACATACTATATATCCTACCAACCACACTCAGCCACGATGTAAGCGGTTGCAGTATATATTGAAGTCTAAATCCTCATTTGCAGTCACTGGGAGCTGCACTTGCTTACCCCAGCTCTGAAATTGGCCCTGAGCCTCTAGTTGATGCCTGGCTAGAGGCTGACTTTCCATCAAAGTCTCCCTAGGGCCTTTTGAATGTTCTGCTGAGTTTGCAAGATGTCTGACTCCGAATGTACAGGGAGACAGAGATGTTTGCCTCTGGATATTGTCCTGATCATTCTTCTAGTGTGAGTCCAAACAGCTGTCCCCATCTCTCACGCACTGCCCCTTTGCCCAGACTTTCAATCTGTTTTTTCCGTAGCCTGGCTGGAAGTTTCTGAGTACTGGAAGGGAGACTGTCCCATCTGCTTATGCCTGTCCTTTGAGCAGCCCCTGTGCTAATGGGCCTGAACTAAGAGATGGCTTTGTTTGTTGATACTTACTGGTATTTCCAGTCTGTCCCATTTCTAACAAACTATTTCCAATGGCAAAGTGCAGCAGCGTACTACTGTAGTTGTCAGGAAGTGACCAAGATGGGAAGTACGGGTGCTGCTTTGAATGCATATCTCCATAGATAAACTCACTGAGGTGCCAGGAGTTTAATATCGTTATTACGTGGAAGCAGCCAGGCTGAGCAGCATGACTTTATAGTCCATGGCTGTGCTGTCCGCCAGGTGCTAGTCACCTGATGAGCTCAGAGGCTCTCACTATGCACCTGTTCTGCTGGAAACAGCAGTGGCTTTGGCAGAGACCAAGAGAAAGTGTGTGTATGTCCTAAATTAACAATATAATTTAACTCCTGCCTGCCTGCAGTGACACACTGAAAGCCTCAACTAATGCTTGTTCCTGGGCTGACGTGATGGAGCTTGTGTGCTGGGTGCACGTTTGTTTAATCATGTATATCACCAGAAAGTATTTCAGTGAAACATGCTTAAAGTAGAAAAGTCGCAGATCCCCGTCCCTCCCCCCTGACTGAATCAAAGGGAAACACGCTTAGCTTTGTTTATACGCGATGAAAAGAGGGATCTGGTTAGCTGATGAGGCTTCCCGACTGCCATGTCTCTCTCCCAGAGATCAGGACTCTGACTCAGAGGCCAAGACTCCTGGGTTCCAACCCTGGTTCTGCCACCTCGGCAAGTCACTCAACTTCTTTGCGCCTTAGGTCCCCCCTTTTGTGAAAGGGGGATAAAAATATTTACTTCCCTCCCTCACTGGAGGGTTAAGAGCCATAATTAACAGGTGCTGAGGACTTTGAGATCCATGTACTTAAGCCAAAAAGAAAAGGAAGTCAGGCAAGGGCAAAGTAATGAAAAAAGGCAGATAGGTAAGAGTTAAAGAACAATAAACATGGCAATCAGATACGGGTTGAAGAATGAAGCCCACACAACGTAGGAAAGGAGGTTGCTTCCCATCCGTCTCCATTTATTTATGTATTTGATTTTGATTGATAAATCCATCCGTAAGCTCCCATCCTAGCTCTGGGCACTGCTAGATGTTTTGATATTGAAAAACATTTGGTCATATGGAAAATGACCAAATGTCATATAACGGCCTGCTCATCCCACTCTAGGAAATAAACACTTAAAGCAGCTATAACAGTGTAATAAACGCTTGCAGATTCTCTGCTTCGATTCAGGGCAAGGACCTCTCCTATATAGAAAACAAAGTGCTCTTCGGTGGTGCTATACAAATAGTAATGATGCTGCTATAGAAATGTGACTCCTGGCCATTGTAGGGACATCAGGCTGTGCTGGGAGACGTGTCCCTTATGTACATTGTACACTACATTGGAGAGCATGCAGAGGGTTAAGGATGAGTTTGGTGGAGTCAGCAGGGCTGGCAGTGACTAACTGTGGGGTGTGCTAATGAGAAGCTGCAATGGTTAGGCCCACAATGATCCTCGGATCCTCTGTTTCCCTGTGAGAAGGTGATCCTTCTGATTGGGGGTAGGCTTGCTATCGGGGCTGTCCGCGAGGCAGTCACACTTCAGCTGTGCCGTATGCATAACCAGAACCATTCTGTCCTCACTCTTTTCCACAAGCAGCAAAAAGAGGCTGCATGTGCCAAGTAAATTATTCTTTTCTTAGCTGTACAAAGTGTTACAAGGTCATTGCCTTGTCCTGCTTGTGTTCGGCCATCTCATCCTCAGGAAGCAAGACGACAGACTTTCTTTGAGCCATTTGTTCCAGATACCATGCATAGCTGGCCTCATTAAATGCGAGGGAGGTTTTGTTGTTTTCTGTTAAATATTCACCCTTCAGACACCTTTGTGCTTCTGGCTGAAGGGAAGGACGCAAACAGAACTTAGAGACGTCTCTCAAAGATGAAATACTATCTCGTCCACCACAGATGGTATAGAGGGAAGGCTATGCGGTGTGTGTTAGTGTTGGAGGGTGGGGGAACATTTCCACTTTGCAGTCTGGTAACTGTGTAATATTGCAGCAAGGGGACTGATGTAATTTGCAAAGTTGGTTTCTGGCATGCCCTGAAGATCAAT